CTTATGGCATCCATGGGATATTCAACACTGCGTAGTTTAAAAAGGATGTGACCAATGGATGAGCTAGGACATGACCAACTGACAGAATTTATCAGTTTGACAACAGGAATATCTACAGACCAGGTGATAGTTTTTCCAACAGGAAAACCTGCAAACCTGCTGGGACAAAACCTTACCAGTAAGACTAAGAGCAATGCTAGGAACATGTTCTTGAAAAAACCACAGAAAAAAACATTTCTTCTGAGATAATGTTCTCAACGAAATGTCTGCACCCTCTTTTATCTGGGATCATTTTTTGTTTGTGGTATTGTCTGAAGAGCTTGGTTAAAAGCTTGGCCTGTGCCGAATAAACTTGCTTAAGATTCTTAAAGTCTTTTATTCCTTGCCCCCCAACTATTTTGTGTCTTTCTTAAGTCTGTTTCCTCACTCTTAGCCTGTTGTAGAGTTGGACTCTAAAAGTGGTGCTGGAACAGGGACCTGAGTGAGAAGGTTTGGTCAGAGTTTGGTCAGAAGGAGACTCCTGCTACACTGTAAAAAATCAATTGGGGAAGAAAATAAAAATTTAAAAAAATCAATTGGGGATTCCGAGGCAGAGACATCAGTAAAGTAATGAGGCAGTCTTCTCTCTATAAATCTTTATATTGTATGTGAACTGCTTAAACATAATTGAATGAATATGTTTCTTCTCCACATTTAATGATACTTTTGAAGGCTGCAGTTCTTTATTGTCCTTGGTTTCCTGAAGAAGGATCTATAGCTTTAAAAACATGGGGCAGATGAACAGTTTTGAAAATGGCACACTGCTAAGGTAATAAATAGCCTTATTAGTCTATGATGAAGTTAGCACTCAAACTGCTACAAGTCTCAAGTACTAATGTTTCCACCGTAGAGGAGGAGGAAACAAAGAAGAAAAACTCACTGTTCAGCTGTGAAAATCCCAATGCCTCCTTTGAGTTTGTCTGAAGCTCTAGACAAAAAAGGCACTTTATCCCTTTATAAAACAATTTCAAACACAAGATGATAATGAAATTCCTGATTCTGGGCCAGGTCCTAAAATATACATTGCAACCAAGCAGTTGAAAATGAAAATCAAAGTACTTTTCCTTGTGCACTTCCTAGTTATTCTAATCCACCAAAACTGAGTCATACGGGTCACAGAATTCTAGAACCTGGAGTTCACGGAGATTGGGAAGCTTTCAATTTGCCTGTTTATATTCAGCCTGATGAACACAGAAATGTACAAATGAATCATGTTCCTTTCCTTTTTAAGTTATTGTTGTTATTGATTACCATCGAGTGGAGCACAACTCACAGTGACCCTATGAACAAAAATCCTGAAGCCTTCTTATAACTATCATTTCTCAAAGTTCATAGAGTTTCCAGAGGCATGCCACTCCTGCTTCCAATTTAAACTATTAAAAGAAATAAGCATTGCTGTTTCTACATATGGGATTTAATCTCCTTACACTTATGGAATGGTTTAGCAAAAAAAGAAAAGACTAACCCCTGTTATATGTTAACTTATGTTCACCTAAATAGTGTTCTCCCCAGGAAACTATTTACAATTTAAAACTTGGTGGAGAGAAGCTGCTGAGGCTCAAGCTTGAATGAATGCCGAATACAACCTTAGTATTATTACTTATGAGCAATTAACAAGGACCAAGAAATATAACACTACAGAACAGCAAATGCATTTTCATGACCAAATCATTCATCAATTAAGAGCTATTTGCCTCTGGTCATGGGAAAAAATTACTCCTGCATGTAGTACTTCTTTTAATCATATTCAGCAAGGCCCACAGAATCTTTCCCTGATTTTGTGACACAATTACAGCAACCTATTAATCAATCTACTCCTAATATAGATGCTCTGGAAGAATTATTATGAATGTTAGCTTATGAAAAGGCTAACATGCTTAGTAAAGCAGATATTAGGCCTCATAAAAATTAAGGAACTGTGTTTGATTTGATTGTGTAGATCCGTAGGATCTGTAATTCATAAAGCTAATCTTTTAGTTCAAGCTTTTGCAAATTTACAGATGAAAAACCAGGCTAAAACGAAATGAAATTGTTTCATCTGTGGGAAACCAGGTCACTTTCAAAACACTTTGTAAATCCCAGAAGAAAGGAAATAAAAAGCCACAATTGTGTCCAAAGTGAAAAAAGGGTAAGCTATTAGTCTAATCAGTGTCATTCAAAATTTATAAATGGTAATTCCCTCACTGTATCAGGAAATGTGAAGCAGGACCTTACCTTCCCCAGACCCCTACATGAAACAAGGGAAGGAGGTCAAGAAAGTGGTTTTGTTGTGCCACCCAGGAACTTCACACCACGTCAACTGGCATGTGTATATTCCTCCCAGATAGCTTTCTACGCGTTTATATTAAGATACAAAGATGTTTTGGGAAATTTTATTTTATGTGGAAGATACGCAAAAAAAAAAAAAAAATAAAAACAAATGAAAAAAAAAAAAAAAAAAAAAAAAAAAAAAAAAAAAAAAAAAAAAAAGAAAGTGGTTTTGGTTTTGTTGTTGTGGTTTGTTTCTTTGCTTATTTTTCTTTCTCACAAAAAATTTTCCACCAGACCTGAATTATCAGGTAGGTTGCAGGTGGAGAAAACTTTCAAATTCAAATTATTGTCCTAGCCTTTTTACCTCTGGTAGACTGGAATGCCAGAGATAAATACGCAAACCAGTCTTTAACAGTTGAATAAATATGTGACCTAAGGATTCAAGAGCAGACTGGAAAAAAAATCCAAAACCTGTACCTTGCATATGCCCCCTCCAAAAGGTAGGAAAACCTAACAGAAACCCCATGAGAGTCTATGTTCCCTTTAGTATGGGAGATTTGAAGAGTTGTAAAGATAAAAGTTTTCTCAAGATCCCTACAGATATACAGAGAAATTTCAAAAGATGACTACTCTTGTTGACTTAACATAGAAAGTTCTATCAGTTTTAATGTCTTTTCACTGTTCTTCTGATGAGAAGCACAGAATTATTAGTGCTGCTAGACATTGGGCTGATAATACACATAGTTTTAAACCATACCTAGCAGATAAAGCTCAGGTAGTCCACAAAATAAACCCAGTTAAAAATTACCAATTAATGGGAAGCTATAGAGTTGAGAGACAAGCTGGTAGAGATTACATGCAGATTTCTCTCACAGAATGAGATATATTTAGGTCAGGCCTATAAAACATTTTAAATTATTAAAAATAATGCAGAATAATAATTTTAAAAGCCCACAGCAGAAATATTTATACTAATCTTGCCTACTATTGACTCCCTTACAGCAGTTATAGCTCAAATACACAAGCCAATAAAGTAGACAAGTTTATCCAATACTGGTAGTAAATCTGTGAGCATATCAATGATGCCCTCCTACATTAATTATGGATTATGCTTAGTAAGTAACTGGATGTGATCCATCAAAGATTATAGTTCCATATAATAAAGAACAAGTTTGTTATTTATTTCAAACTTTAACACACTGGCAAACTGCATGCAATGACTATATATATATATTGGGGTTACTGGTAATCATTATACCAAACATAAATTATGGGATTTTTTTTTAAAGGCCACTTTTGTGTGTGTGTGTGTGCGTGTACCGTCAAATCAGATCTGACTGGTACAGGAGGATATTGTGCCTCCTTCTCCAGCAGAGCGTCTGGTAGATTTGAACCGTGTTCCTCTGGGATTGCACTGCAGCTTCTTGCCACTAGGCCACCAGAGCTCCCCTAAAGGCCACTTTTGGTATATAGATCCAATGTTGTTGCTGCATTCTGTCAAGTAGGAACCAACCCATAGCTAACCCTCTCGTGGATTTCTCCAAGAACAAGCTGTAAGTGATAGAACACATTATGCTTTTTAAAAGTTACAAAAATAGAGGGAATTGAAGGACTACTCTGCTCAAGATCAATTAAATATAATCTTGTGGTTTCCCCCCCTTTTTTTCTCATTGTGTAATGTCGAGTCGGATCCAACTGGCAGAGGAAAAGACTGCCCACCTCCCTTCTCTAGCACAGAATCTGTTGGATTCAAACCACATGTCTTTGCGATCACAGCACAGCTTCTAGCCACTAGAGTGCCCTCAATTAACTAAAATCTTAATAACACTTAATTATTATAATTTTACAAAGAATTCTACAGCAGAATTATATTTTTATTCAGAAACTTTACAAAAGCCTATTAATGAGTAAGTGTGGTAGGAACAGAAGATGGAAGTCATGTTACTAAGCAATGGTAGAGAGTATGCTTGTGTTTCCACAGGAAAAGAAAATGAGCGGCCATTTGAGATTCTGCATGAACAGAGCCTAGTGATATAGCATGGAAGATGTACTCTATATATGTGGAAATACTGAATGTGTGTGTGTGTTCAACTATGTGTATTTTTAGCAAAATTAAAAATCTGAAACATCTACAGCCACTTCCATTTCTTGTTTGCCTACAGTACAGAACGGTATTTTTACTTTTTATAGGGATGGACAAGAAATAAGAAATTCACAGCCCTTTAACATTCTCGATATAACCTGCCTAAATGCAGAAATATGGCATAACACTCTATTTATTTCCTCCAAGGTCCTTTTAACCATTAATGCATAACTCATGAGCATCACTCAGGACAAGAGAGACATGGCAGGAATCAGACAACACAGGTTTAAATTTAGACTCTACGTAATTTTCTAGCTATAGTAGTTCAAATCTCACAGCATTATTTTAAAAATAATAAAAATAAAGGGCATGACAAGTAGATGATACACAAAAGTATTTTATAATGATTACAATTTTCACTTTCAAACAAGACACAGAAGTGAATCAAGAAAGTGTTCAGACACTAGATCTGAGAATATTGAAACCCAGCTTTCTTCTATAGCAGTGATTTTTATCAAAATATCACATTGCAAGGCTTATAATTTAAAAAATCTGAGAATGTTTTAAGCAGTATTTTGAATAACCACTATTTTTCTTAATCTAAATAATCAGTGGCACAAGAACTTACCATATTTAGTAATTCAGGACCCTTCACAGATAGGAAATTTAGTCCAGATTCATTTGCCACAGCCTAGTAAAAACAAACACAGTAAATATAAGGCAAATATACAATTAAATAATAATATTAATTTGTGATAATGCAAGAACTTTCTGTAGTTTGCACTGTTATTTGTCCCGTTTAATATTTGACTCATATTAAAAGGAAAAATTAAAGAAAATCATGGTTAAACATATTTAAGAATTCCCAAGAATTTAGATTTAAGTCAGATAAAAATGGCATAACAAGATTTTGTAATTATTTTACGTAAACACATTTTCATCAACAATCTGCATTATGCAAATGACACAACCCTGCTTGCTGAAACTGAGGAGGACCTGAAGCGCTTGCTGCAGAGGATCAAGGACTGCAGCCTCCAATATGGACTGAGGCTCAATGTCAAGAAGACAAGGATTCTCACCACTGGACCAAATCAGGATGGATGGTGAAGAGATTGAGACTGTTCACAGCTTTAGTTTGCTTGGCTCCACAGTCAACACTCTCAGCACCAGTAGCCAGGAAATTAAAAGACATATTGCCATGGAAAGTCTGCTGTTAGGGACCTCTCCGAAGTACTGAAGAGCAACAGTGTCAAGGCCATGGTCTTTGCTATCACTTGTTACGCATCAGAGTTGGACAGTGACTAAGGAGAACTGATGCCTTTGAGCTGTGGTTCTGAAGAAGAGTGTTGAGGGTACCATGGACTGCTAGGAAAACAAACAGATTCATCCTGGAAAGGGTTAAGCTGGGCAGCTCCCTGGAGGCAAGGATTCTGAGGCTCCATCTAACATAAGGGACATGTTGTAAGGAGGGACCGGTCCTTGGGGAGGGACATCATGCTTGGTACGGTGAAGGGACAGCGCAGGAGGGGAAGGCCCTCTATGAGATGGGTTGATTCAGTGACTGGGGTAATCGGGATAGGTGTGTCAGAGACAGTGCGATTGGCACAGGACAGAGAAGAGTTTAGGGCTGTTGTACATTGGGTCGCTATGAGTTGCAAGTGACTTGACAGCACATAACGACAACAAACACATTTTAAGTATGTAGCTACAATTTGGACTTCTTGTGAAACCCCAATCTCTATACTCAGGAAAAACTTTGAATGATAAAAGCAGTATCATTTATTTATTTATATAAGTAAAAACTTTCTCTATGAAAGGGCAATATTTATAGATATTTTTAAATAATAAAAACAAAGTATAACGTTCACAGTCAGAATGAACAGAGCAAAAGAGAAAACATGGTACTGAGAAGTCTATGAAGTATAATCTATATTCATATACGAAACCTTCTGAGATGAATCAATCAGAATTTCAAAATGACCACGGCATACAGTTCTTCCCTGTTCTATCATTTGATATCTTATCTTCGGATCTGTAAATTCATCATACTCTGTATTGCTTTAGATCTTGCAGGTAACTCAAAGCTATCATGTCCAAGCAGGAATCCTAATTTGCATTTTCCCATCTTCATCCAATCACAGTCCCCTGCACACTCACCCCTTCATCTTAAATATCCAGTTTATCAGCCAAAAATTTTGTATTTCCCTTGATCCTTTGTCTTATCCAATCCATTCTGCAAGTCCTAATAGCACTAAAGCTAAAACACAAGTGATTCTGACATTCTTTAATCCTCCAACTATATTACAACCCTCAAGGAGAGCACCATCAACTCTTGCCTGTTCTTGTTAGGTACCATTGAGTCAAATAAAACTCACAGCAACCCATCAACCCTGTCCTATCCTGTTGTCATCCTCACAATCTTCAATACCCTGAAGACCACTGCTGTAGTTACTGTATCAGTCTACCTTGTCTTGAGTCTTTCTCTCCTTCGCTGTCTCTTCAATTTTCCAAGTGTGCTGTCCCTCTCCAGTGAACAGCTTCTTCTAGCAACATGTTCAAAGTATGTGAGTCAAAGTTTCGTCATCACTGCCTCCAAGGAGCACTCTGGCTACACCATCTTTCTTTGTTCTTTTGGCAGTCCATAGAAACTCAACACTCTTCTCCAACACCATAATTTGAAGGCACTAATTTTTATTCTGTAATCCTTAGTCCAGCTCTCAGAAGCATAGTGACTGAAAAGATTATAGCCTGAATCAAGTACATCTTGGACCTCAAACTGACATTGCTCTTTAACAATTTGGAGAGGACTCGGACAGATTTTCCCAATGCAATATGTCTCCTGATCTCCTAACTGCTGATACTCACTGTAAAAAATGAGGATCCAAGTAAGATAGTCACTGACAGCTTCAATCTTTTTCCATCTACTGTGATGTCGCCTAGTAGACCAGTGGCTAGAATTTTTGTTTTCTTGTCATTGTCTAGACACTGGTAAAAGTGTCCTAGATGCTCTTTCTATTTTAGTTTCCTTTATCCAGACAGCAATGAGAACATTCTTTTCAAAATAAAGTACATCTTATTCCATTTATAAGGTTTCCCGTTCATCTTCAAGTACATTCTGAAATCTACATTTCTGACAGCTTCAGTCCAGTCATTGTCTCCTTTTCTAGTCCTCAGCTTCACAAAGCCCTTTCCAACCTCAGGATTTTACATCTGCTACATGCACACTTAGTTTAAGAAAGGAGAAGTTATGATCACTCCCTAAGCACTATAGTTAAAGTAGTCATCCCTGTCACAACATGCTAGCTATTTTAGTTATTGTAGTCCCTCTTGTCACACATTCTAGTTATTTCCATTATGGCTTATTAGGTGAATATGAAATTTTATTGCTCTACTGGTTTACTGTCTACCTCTCCCAAGTGGGCAGTTAATTTCATTAAAGAAGGTTATCTTGTTCACTAGTGCATCTCCAGCACCTCAAACAATTTTGTCAAAGAACAGGTAGCTTAATAACTACCTGCTGAGAAATGGGGTACACACATGCTTTGCCATGCAAAAACTGGCCAATGTGCAGACTATGTAGAGTTCTGGAAAGTGGTTGTCATAGTTGAACTTGCTTCAAGTGAAGTGGAATATAACTCTTTTCTATAATGTAGTATACTGCAACAATAACTGGAAAGGGGAAAATTACAGATCAAAGTATGAGAAAGAAAGAAGTAAAAGAGCCAGAGTGAACCCTTCCAGGAGCCTGATGTGGAAGACTGTGGGCACCACTGCTTCTGATTCTGTTATCAGAGGGAGACATTTGTTACTAACTAGCACTCATACTGTCCTTGTTTGCAAGAGGGAGATTTCGTTTCTAGTAGTGTGTCAACTCTTAGGTTTTCCAGTTTTAGTTATCATTCTGATACACTCACATTTTATAAGTTCTAGTCTATTCTGGTTTCCCTTTGTCGGCTGTAGGAGAACCAAAAAGAAGTGGTGTAAAGCCCTAGAGCTGACTTGTTAAAAAATGTTAAGCTTAGTACTAACAGATGTCAGTACGGAACGCTCCAAGCACTTGTGGCTTTCTTTTTGGCACAAGTGGGTGTCGGCAGAATAGACTTGCCAGATGAACTGGGGGTCTCTGGCCCAGAGTTCACCAGAATTTAGGCGTGCCAAGATGCTAAAATACATAAAGTTTGGGCCACATCTGCAGGGTAAGGTAGAGTGTCTTGGAAGTCTTAGTGCCAGCTAGAGGTGGCCTATGGTTTCTTGAAGAGAGGTCAATATGGAACACTCCAGGCACTTGCGGCTTTCTTTCTGCCACAAGTGGGTGTCGGCAGAACAGACTTGCCAGATGAACTAGGGGTCTCTGGCCCAGATTTCACCAGCATTTGGGCATGCCAGAATAGTAAAATACAGAAAGGTCGGCCCACACCTGCAAGGTAAGGGCGAGTGTCTTGGGAGTCTTAGTGTCAGTTGGAGGCGGCTCTGGATTCTTGAAGAGGCCTGATGTGTCAAATGTGCTAATGGTTACCCATGGCAGACAGTGTTTGGTGGAGCTCCCCAATTAAAAAAAGCTTGGAAGCAGGAGTGGTATCCACTTTCATAATAACTTGCCTCTGGAAAGCCTATGAACCTGGAGAAAGGATGAAAAGTCACACAAGTGTTGGGGACTTTTGTTCATAGGGTTGCTATGAGTAGACTATGCACAACTTGACGGCACTATGGAAACAAAGCAGGAAACAAGTACAGCTACAAACTACACCTATGCAGTAATGCTGATGAAAATGTAGTAAAAAGATTTTATGAAAGATTGAGATTTTGTTTTCACTGGATGGAGGATAGCTCTGGCCTGGTTGGTCGGTGGTGAGAGCAGGCTGGAGCCTGTTGCTGGACCCAATGAGAGACTGATGTGGAGCTGGGGCTTTTTTAAAAGTCATTGGGCCCTTCGGCCCGCAATCCACAGGCCTGATTTAGTTGTGTTTGAAATTTATGTTCTCCTATGTGGTAAAGCATTTTTCTATCATTTCAATGTACTTAGGTAACTTGGGATTCCTGTGAAACACTGTGCTAGTGGTATATCAAATGCCATAATGGTTACACACAGTTAACAAAGTCTGGCAGAGCTCATAGATTAAAACAGGCTTGGAAGCAGGAGTATCCACTTCCTAAACATGCCTGTGGAAACTCTTTGAACTTAGAGAGAGGAAAATTATTATATAGGGTCACTACTCAATGACACTTAACAACAAATAAAGCCAGGCACTTGTCTCCATTTTGGGTTGGGTGAGGTGGTGGACTCTGTACAATGGTGCTCTTGCTTAGACTGAAGAACTATGTGGATTGTGTGGTTGTTTTTGTATTTAAGCCTCTTGTTTACAGTTAAGACCTCCTTGGAGGGCCCTTATATTTAAAATTTGGGCCAAGGGAATATATTTTAATCCCTTATTATGTTTTAGAGGAAAATTTTCTGTGTCATGCAGCACTCTGGTCAATTTGCTGTGCTGAAGTAATCTGGGTTTGCTGTGACATTGAACTGTTTGCCATGGGAGTCTCAAATGCCATAATGGAACAACTGTGCCATAAGTATGCCAAACACTATAATGGCTACCCATTGTGGGCAGTGTTTGGTGGAGCTTCCAGATTGATTCAGGTTCCTAAACCACATGCCTCTGTCATACTCAACCCAACAGCAGTCAACAACAACAATAAATAACTATGGAAATAAAGCAGGAAAGAAGTAAAGCTACAAACTACAACTATGCAGTAATGCTCATGAAAGTGTAGTAAAAAGATTCTATGGAAGATTGAGACTTTGTTTTTTCAATAAATCTGATCTTTAATTTTCCCCACCATGGACATGCTGGACTATTATTTTTAAATGTTATTAAAACATGGTGCAACCACTGTGGAAGGCGGTATGGCGCTTTCTCAAAAAGTTGCAAACCGAGATACCATTTGACCCAGCAATTCCACTACTGGGAATATATCCCAAAGAGACCATAACTGACATCTAAGCAGATATATGCACACCCATATTTATCGCGGCTCTGTTCACAACAGCAAGGAGTTGGAAACAACCCAGGTGCCCATCAACAAACGAATGGATAGAGAAGCTGTGGCATAGTCACACAACGGAATACAACACTGCACTGAAAAACAAGAACCTCATGCAATATTATTAAAAATGGGTGAGCCTGGAGGACATTATGCTGAGTGAAATATCTCAGTCACAAAAGGACAAATATTTCATGTTGCCACTGCTGTAAAATGGGACTGATATCAGGGTTGGGGTAAGACTGAGAAAAGCTGGATAAATTGTGTATACTGCACTGAAACAGATGAGGGAGTGAATAATTTAAAAGTGATGTATGATGGGGTATTATGGTTATCACAAGAGTCCACAATTAAGGCTGCATAGTGGAATGTACTTGGGGCGGCGGGAGGGGTGTGGGGTGATTGTGTACCAGGGAGGGAGTGTTTCTTTTACTTTTAAAAGAGTGGCGCGAACTGGGGGGTGAGGGGGTGGGGAAAGAAGTGCAGCAATGAATGAATGGAAATCCAAAATCTCTATAAATGTTCATTAAAATTATTTAAAAAAAAAAAAGAAAGAGAATCAACAGACAGTACTAATGGAATTATGTACAAAAATAGAAGTTGCAGTCCCCAAAGAGAACGCATCAGGATTAATTTGAAAGCTGTACCTGAGTGAGCTAAATCTGTACTTAGTGATGTAAAGAGAAGTCTAGAATTTATAGTTAACTAAGAAAATGAAAAGGTAATTATGTAGTGAGATTCCTTATAAATATGAATTAAAAAAATAAGGATTACGCAAATAAAAAAAGAAAAAAGTTATTAAAACAAACTTGGAAGCAGGAGTGGTATTCACTTCCAAAACAGAAACTCTATGAACTTGGAGAAACGATGGAATTTATACTAGTGTGCAGGCCTTTCATTCATAGGGTCGTTAGGAGTCATCTATGCCTCAACGGCACTTCACAACAACAACAACAACAACAACAACAACAACAACATCATCATCAAAGGATCAAGTTTCTGTTTATGGTGAGTGATTATAGTTAATTTTAAAAACTGGGGGTTTTCCCATCAACAAATGAATGGATAGAGAAGTTGTGGAATATTCACACAATGGAATACTATGCTGCATTGAAAAACAAGGAACTCATGAAATATTATTCAAAATGGGTGACCCTGGAGGACATAATGCTGAGTGAAATATCTCAGTCACAAAAAGGACAAATACTGCATAGTGCCACTGTTGTAAAACAGGTCTGACATCGAGATTTGGGGGAAACTGAGAAAGATGGGATAAATTATGTATACTGCATTGAAACAGATGAGGGAGAAACCTGTTTAAAAGGGATATATGATTAGGTATTAATGTTATGACAGGAGTCCAGAACGAAGGCTGTATAGTAGAGTGGACTTAAGGGCAAGGATTATATAACAATGAAAAAATTTTTCTTTTACTTTTCAAAGAGAGAGTGAACTGGGGGGAGGGGAATACAGGGAGAAAAGTACAACAATGAATAAATGGAAATGCCAAGTCTCTGTAAATTTTCATTAATAAAAATAATAATAATAATAAAAAGAAAAAAGAAAATCTGGGGTTTTTACATTTTCAATCACTTATCTTTTAAAGTTAAAAGAATGTGGTTACTAAATGAACTTCTAATAAAAATAAGCAAAATATTATCTTACTGAAATATTTAAAGCTAAATGCATATTATTCAAACTCATGGTAATAAATAAATACAACACATACAATTGCACTTTTACCATACCTTTGCCAGAAGAGTTTTACCACAGCCAGGAGGACCAGCAAGGAGGATTCCAGCAGGAGTCACTAATCCAAGAGCTCTGAATAGATCTGGGTTCCGGATTGGTGCCTAGAAAGCATAAGTCCAACAAGGACTGATTACTGATGACTATTTCGTGCTGCACCTGTAGCTCAAAGCACAAAGTTTTCTCACTGACTGTGAAGACACCAATCGAAGTTGCATAGGACATAATAAATTGCTTCTATCCTAGATACAAGGTATGTGATGACAAATAAGTCCTTGTTCTCAGTGAATTTATACCTAAATTCAAGCACTGAAAATATTTCAGACAGACTACTTTTTAGGTGCTATTAAGTCCACTCTAACTTATACTGAGTCTATATACAACACATGTAAAAGCTCTATTTTATACCAATCGCAGAATTTTCATTGAGTATAAGGCCATTCTTGTAATCATAGTTCCAAACTACCGCATTGGCAGTATTCTTCTCTGATCCCTCTACCTTTCTCAACATGATGTCTTCAACTCAGGAGAAGGTAAACTATTGGTTAGTTGTGAATCCACAGTACACAACAACAACAAAAGTCTGTATTCTGAAAAGACAACCAGAACAACTAAACATGATGTCTTTCTTCTTCTGTGAGGCCTGGCCTCTTCCTGACAACATGCCCAAAGCCTGTGAGAGTAAGTCACCATCCTTGTCTCGAACATGCTCTGCCCTGCATCTCCTCACATCCAGTCCATCAACTGCCTTGAGTCCAGAGCACCTTGGGCTACGCTAGCTGTGGCAGTTGTCTGAGAGGGGAACCTGCTTCCACAGGCCTTTTATCTATCAAACTGACAGGGTGTTTCTCTATTAAACTGAGAGAAATCCAGGCAGGGTAGCCACCCCACCCCTTACTGGAATGGTGACTTCAGATCAAGAACCTGCTATCACCTCAGACATGAAAAACTCTACCACAGCAATGTCACATAGGAAACAGGCTACTTCATCACCTACACAAGCCCAAAAACAAGATATCACCCAAAGAAGTGACACAGTATCAGTAGGAATCCTAAAGCCAGAAAGTTTGCTGAAACTTTCTGACACAGAATTTAAAAGAACAATGACTGAATATTTTCAATGGGTGAAAGACAAACTTGAAGAATAACAGAACACCACAAGCAAAAACCAGGAGAAGCTTAAGAAAACAATCCAAAACAATGCAGATAAAACAAGTGAGGCATTACAGACTCTGGAAAACCAAGAAAATACAATCCAAAATATGAGGACCAATGTTTCAGATGCTGTCGACATGATGGAGGGTCACATGAACAGAGTTGAACAAATGGGACACAGAAACAGTGAGATAGAAGACAGAATTGTAACCAATGACCTGCTAGAATAAAAAGCAGAATTAAAAAGGAAAAAGAATAAAACCTAAGAATAAAGTGGGACACAATCGAGAGAAATAACATGCACATAATCAGAATCCCAGAGAAGGAAGAATCAAGTGAAGTCACCAAAAAAGTTGTGAAAGAATTACTAGAAGAAAATTTCCCAAGCAAAATGAAGAATGAGAGAATATATATTAAAAAAACTGAGAGAACACAATATAGAATAGACCCCAAAAGAAAAACACTAAGACATATCATAGTCAAATTTGCAAGAGCCAAAGATAAGGAGAGAATTCTGAAAGGGGGGTGGGGATAAACAAAGAATAACCTATAAGGGAGAGCAAATAAGATTAAATGCTGATTTCTCAGTGGAAACCATGTGAGCAAGAAGACAAAAGAATGGCATATATCGAATGCTTAAAGAACACAACAGTCAACCAAGAATACTATACCCAGCAAAACTATCCAGCAAGTATGAAGGAGAGATCAAGATTGTCCCAGAAAAAGAAAACCTAAAGGAGTTCACAAAAGCAAGAAACATTGAGAGACATCCTTCTTACAGAGGTGCCACAAAAAGCAGGAGGGACCAATGTAAGTAGCAACATACCAAAAAGAACTCAATAAAATGATACCAAGGAAACTTTGCTTCTCAATAATCACACTGAATGTAAATGGTTCAAATGCACCATTGAAGAGTAGTAGTAGATTGGATAAAAAACCAAAATCCATCAATATCTTGTCTACAAGAGACATACCTGAAAAATGAAGACAATGAAAGACCAAAATAAAATGATGGGGAAAAATATACCAAGCAAATGGCAACCAAAAAAAGGAGTGGCAATATTAATTTAAAATAAAATAGATTTCAATACAAAATTATCATAAAAGACAAGGAAGGTCACAACATAATGATTAAGGAGTCAACTGAACAAGAAGATACAGCAATAATAAATATCTATGCACCAAATTAAAGACCTGCAAAATATATAAAACAAACATTAACAAAACTGAAAAAGGAAAAATACAAAACTATTATTGTAGTTGGAGACTTCATTACTCCACTCAAGAAAAGATAAAACTTCCAGAAAGAAACTCAACAAAGATGCTTAAGAATTAAACCATAAAATAAACCAACTCGATCTCACAGATATTTAAAGGCTAATACACCCCAAAAAACCCCACAGTATACCTTTTTCTCAAATGTGCATGGAGCATTCTCCACAACAGATGACATTTTCAGACACACGTCAAGCATCAATAAATTTGAAAGCATAGAAATGATAGAAAACATCTTTTCAGATGACAAAGCTACAACATTAGAAATTAATAACAAGAAGATAAAGAAGAAAAAATCATACAGCTGAACAATACCTTGCTTGAACATGACTGGGTACTAGAAGAAAAAATTAAATTAAAAAATTAAAAAGTTTCTAAAAACAGTGACAATGAAAACACAACTTAGAAAAACCTCTGGGAAAACAACCAAACCAGTAACTGTTGCTGTTATGTGCCATCAAGTCACTTGCGACTCATAGTGACCCTATGTACAAGAGCTCTAAACGAAGCAGTAACTAGAGTTCAATTTATAGCAATAGGCAAACACATTAAAAGACAGGAAAAAAATGACCATTAGAGAGTCAATGCAAACACATTAAAAAGACAGGAAAAAATGACCATTAGAGAGTGAGTCCAAGGTCTACTTCTTTCTTCTTCTTGTTGATTGCCATCGAGTCGAGGTCGACTCAGAGCAACTGTATGAACAAAAGACCTAATGCCTTTCCACAGCTATCATTATTTCTCCAAGTTCATAGAGTTTCCAGAGGCATATGGTTAGGAAGTGGATGCCACTCCTGCTTCCCAATCTGTGTTGTAACTGGGAGCTCCACAAAACACTGTCCACAATGGGAAACCATTCTGGTATTTGGTATCCCCATTGCACAAGGCTCAGCATCATAGCAAACCCAGGTTACCTCATACAGCACACTGATCAAGAGTGATGTGCAAAGTGGAAGAATGTTCAACAATACATCAAAAAAAAAAAATTCACCATGACCAAGTGGGATTCATAACAATCAGTGTAATTCATCACATTAACAAAGCAAATAACAAGAATCACATGATCCTATCAATTGATGCAGAAAAGGCCTTTGACAAAATCCAACTGTTTCCTGAATAACACTCAACAAAATAGGACTAGAAGGAAATTTCTTCAATATAGTAAAAGGTACATAAGCAAACCCAAGAGCCAATGTTGTTCTCAATGGAAAGAAGTTAAAGTCATTCCCCTTGAGAACAGGAATTAGGTATGGATGCCCATTATCACCTCTCCTATTCAATACTGTATTTGAAGTCTTAGCAGTAGCAGTAAGACAAGAGAAGGAAATCAGAGGTATTCAAATTGGCAAAGAGGAAATAAAATTATCTCTATATGCAGATGATATAGTATACTTAGAAAACTCTAAAGATTCAGCAAGAAAACTACTGGGCATAGTTGACCAGCAAAGTGGCAGGTACAAGATCAACATACAAAAATCAACTGGATTTCTCTACAGGGTCAAAGAGAATATAAAACTGGAGCTAAGAAAAACAATACCCATCACAATAGCTAATCACAAGATTACATTTTGGGGAGTAAATCTAACTAGAAACACAAAAGACTTATGCAAGGGAGCTCTAGTGGCCTAGTGGCAAGGAGCTGCACTGCAATCCCAGAGGCATGCAGTTCAAATCCACCAGATGCTCTGCTAGAGAAAGAGAGGCAATCTCCTCCTGTACCAGTGAGATCTGATTTGATGGTACACACACACAAAATAATAAAGTAAAAAAGACTTATTCAAAGAAAATGACAAAACATTACTACAAGAAACAAAAAGAGATCTGGAGAAATGGAAGAATATCCCTTCTCATAAATAAGAAGAGTCAATATTGTGAAAATGACAATACTACCAAAGGCAATTTACACATTCAATTCAATCCCAATGCGAATACCAATTCCATTCTTCAACGAGATGCAAAAGGCAATCTCCAGTTTCATTTGGAATGGAAAGAGGCCCTGAATAAGCAAAGCACTCCTTAAAAAGAGAAACTTCATTTGTAATGGAAAGAGGCCCAAATAAGCAAAACAAAAAGAGAAAATAAGCTAGTAGGCATCTCACTCCCTGATTTCAAATCCTACTACACTGCCAGGGTGGCCAAGAAAGCGTAGTACTGGTACAATGACAGACACATAGATCAATGGAATAGAATTGAGAACCCAGAAATCAGCCCATCTACCTATGGTCAACTGATTTTTGACAAGGAGATGAAACCAGTTAAGTGCAGAAATGACAGCCTTTATAACAAATGGTGTTGGCAAAATTGTAAAACCAACGCAGAAAACTCAAACAAGACCCACACCTCACCCCATAAACAAAACCAACTCAAAGTGGGTCAAGGACCTAGGACTAAAACCAAGCACTATAAACTTCATTAGAGAAAAGCTTGGAAGGATCCTAGAAGCACTAATCCACAACCTGAACAGTCTTCCAAGCATTCTGAAAAACCTACAACTAGGGAAGGATAAACTAGATAAATGGGACCTTCTTAGAATCAAATCCCTATGCACATCCAAAAACTTCTCCAACAGGATCAAAAAAGAAGCCATAGACTAGGAAAAAATATTTGGTAATGATATGTCAGAGAAGGGACTTATATTTAGAATTTATAGAATACTCGAGCACCACAACAAGATAAAGGTAAACATCCAATTGCAAAATGGGCACAGGATATGAACAGACACTTCACGAAAGAAGACATTCAGATGGCCAACAAGCACATAAAGCAATGTTGAAAATCCCTAGCTCTAAGAGAGATGCAAATCAAAACAACTATGAGATATCATTTCACCCCGGTCAGAATAGCAAAATTTAACAGAACAGCAAGCAAGAAATGCTGGCAAGGTTGTGGAGAAACTGGAACCCTTATTCACTGTTGGTGGAAGTGTAAAATGGTGCAGCCTCTACAGAAGGCAGGATGACGCTATCTCAGAAAGTCGGAAATAGAAATACCATTTGATCCAGCAATTCCACTGCTGGGAATATACCCTAAAGAAACCATAACCATCACCCAAGCAGATATATGCACACCTATGTTTATCACGGCTTTGTTCACAATAGCAAAGAGCTGGAAACAACCCAAGTGCTCATCAACAAATTAATGGAGAGAGAAGCTGTGGTATATTCACATAATGAAATACTACACTACACTACACTGAAAAACAAGGAACTCATGAAATATCATACAAAATGGGTAACCACAGAGGACATTATGTTGAGGGAAATATCTCAGTCACAAAAAGACAAAACTGCATCATGTCACTGTTATAGAACAGAAGTGATAAGGTGGTTGGGGGGGGGAAGAAAAGAGGGAATAAATAATGTATATGGCATTGAAATAGATGAGGAAGAGAACTATATGAAAAGAATATATGATTAGGTATTATTGGCTTGACAGGAGTCTAGAATAAGAATTGTATATTGAAGTGGTGGTGGTGAGGTGGTGGTAAAACAACTGTATAACAACGAAAGAAAAAAGTGAACTGGGGGGGTGGGGGAAGGAGGATAGGAAGGAAAATGTGCAAAAATGAATGAAAGGAAATCCAAGTTCTTTATAAACTTTCATTAAAATCTTAAAAGAAAAAAATTTTCTAGACAATGCTCTACATTAGCTGTAGTAAAGGTCAAAGAAATCTGTGCTGTAATCGCAAACCTTCTTTTCTCTAGAAATACACTTTAAGTGCAGTAGTGAATCATACATCTCAATAAAGTGAGAAAAAATGAATTAACTCAGATTATCACATGGCTTCAGATGGTTTTGTCTCCTTTTAAGAATTCACTATTACAAAAAACAATCAAAACCTAAAGACTAAGTCTTTAAGAGAAGGAAAAAGAATGAAGACTTGTTCAGGGCTAGATAAGAGATCAATGAGAAAACCCTATCATAGCCAAGTCCACATGGGCCTAGAACCTCAAACACAGGTTTTTTGGATTGAAGTGTGCTTCCAAAAAAGAAGCTGCCAACTGGCCTATGCCAGGATTCTCAGAAGCTAGGCAGTTATGTGATGATGTAATGGGGCCACAGGATCTCATATAAATCTGCTTTAAGAGGATCAGGATTGAATACCCTCAACGCTGCCATAGGCTTTATCCAGTGTAAAGCTAGTTTCTCTGGGATGCAGCCTATACTACCTTTTAATTTACGATAGATAAAAAGAAAGTAGCCAACAGTGAGGGATCTCACTGTCATCAAGGAAAAACAGCCGGATGCAAGGCACATTTTCTGGACCGATTCTGGCTAAAACTTCAAGTCTAAACTTTTAGCCTCCTAAACTGTCAGAAAAGATACTTTTGCCATTTTCATGCGGTATTTCTGTTACATCAGCACTAGACTGTAAAGACAACAGCATGTAGCATTATCTCTGGTGCCCATTAAATACACCAACAAGTGCCAACATATACACACCTACCAGTATTGCCATGGTGAGCTCTTCTCTAACATGTTCCAGGGCACCAATGTCAGCCCACGTCACATTGGGGACAGTGACAAAGCCTTCTCTTTTGGCAGAAGGCTGGACTGAGGCTAAAGCAGCAATAAAATCGTCTAACTCAATGTGCAGCCCTTGTAGCAGCTCTTCTGAGAGAGGATCTTGTTCTCTCAGCAACGCCAGCAGCCTTTGCAATTCATCCTTAAAGGGAGAAAGTAAGCAGGGAAAAATTTATAAAACATTTTGCTGAAAAGATTATATACTATTACACTATTTCTATAAACCACACTGACATCCATATTTTAAAGATTCTCTCCATCGATAGGAGACTATCTGCCTTATTCCACAAAGATCACCTCAAATGGTCAAATTAAGGTATACTGTTACACTCAAAAACAGATTAATGGCTTTTAAAAAAATAATATTTATATACATGGCTTTAGTATACTAAGCTAGGGCTACATATACAAAGATAATTAGTTGGCAAATATTTCTCTCATTTAGAGATTTTCAAGAAGTAGTTAAATTTTGAAAGTTAAAACAAAGGTTCTCTAATGATAGTATAATTTCATATGGTTCCTGTATCAGCTAGAAAGTGGACTATTTTCCAGAACTATTATCTGAACTTCAATGGAGAGTCTAAAATAAACTGGAAAATATTAATGAAATGTGTTATAGCTTTGTGAAAAACAGAAATGGCTAGGGGTTAAAAGGAGCACTTGAGTAATTTAATTTATAAAATCCTAAAAATATATATATGTAATGCTAGAAAAGGAATGAGTTTGTTTATAACTATCTAAAATAGAAATCACTATGGTTCTAAAGAAGTAAGTGAGAAATAAATAATTTTACAAAAATATCTGTACACAGTTCAGGTAATCAGAACATGTGTGATCGTAGGAAAATTACAACCTTTAATGTTTAGCTCTTCAATTATGAAATGTGAAAAAAATGACAATTATTTCACAAAGTTTTATGGACCAAATTATAGATTATGCAGAACTTCCATTTGTAAACTCTACTATACTACAGAAATGATATATGAGATTTCAAACCTTACAAGACTAAAAAAATTAACACTAATCGTGGACTAATAAATACTCTCACATTTGCAAAAGTATTCTTCAGAAATATTTGCAGGTAGAAACAAAGTGTACAATCATACTCAATTTAAACAAAAGTATTTTAACCTGAAGTATTTAGTTAGGAAACAAGAAAGATAATTTAACGCCTAAATCTGGTGGTCTAGTAGTAAAAAAGCTGTACTGTAATCCCAAGGGCACACAGTGTGAATCCACCAGGTGTTCCACAGGAGAGGGATAGGCAATCTCCTCCTGTGTGATTTACTGTCTCTGAAAACCTGCTGGAGGATTAGTTATGGGTCGGTTCTGACTCAGAGGCACACAACAAATATTCTAAAGGGGTTGGAAAACTGTAAAAGTCAGAGAGTAAATATTTTAGGCTTTGCAATCATCTGGTCTGTTGCAAGGACTCCATTTGCTGAGTAAATATAAAAGCAGAAACAGACACTATGTAAACAATCAAGCAAAGCCATGTTCCAACACAATTTTCATTTAAAAAAATAGTGTATAATATAATTTATAAACTCCTGCTCTAAAATTTCATAACTCGCATTATAAATTTATTTAGAGTAAATTAAAATGAAAAGGAAAATAAATAGTAATTTTGGGATTTATAGACATTTTAGGTCCAAGTAAGTAACTGGGGTAAAGATAAGATGCCAACAAAACAGGAAAACAATCAAACTCCACTACACTGACGCTTGGATGTACGAGGACACAAGACAATTCACAGTACCTTTAGAGAACACACCTGTGTTTTAGAAGCATGCTCCGTTCCCACCCCTTCCTGGCATCTCGAAGTGGAAGCCAACAATCCTTCAGTCTTAGGATCTCCCTGCTTCTGTTCCTGCAACTCCATCAAGCCCCTGCTGACAGCACACACGGCTGCCTCCCGGCAGAGCGCCATAAGATCAGCACCCACAAAACCTGGTGTTAGGTGTGCTAGGTGATGAAAAGGAAATGCTTCAGGAAGTCTCAGTTTCCTGCACAAGGTCTGAAGTATTCTGTAGAAAAGACACAGGAGAAATAAAAATTATTATACCTAACCTAATGAGCGTAAAAACAAGTATTCCACTCATACTATGTCACACTGTCTTGTCTCTTCATGTTATGACAGTATTTAAAACCTTGTTTCTGCAATCTTGACTATGTTGATGATGACAGGTTGAGGATTTTCAGGTATTCGTAGATAGTCTTTCAATAGGAATATGCCTGATACTTTCGCATGATTCAAAAAAGCCATGAACCCACTGCTGCCAAGTTGATTTTGATTAACAGCAATCCTAAAACAGAGAGGGACTACCCCTCAGGGTTTCCAAGGTTATAAACCTCCTACTGAAGCATGCAGCCTCATTCTTCTCCCAAAGAGCAGCTGTTGTTGTTGTTGTTATGTGCCGTCGAGTTGTTTGCGACTCATAGTGACCCTATGCATAACATCCCTAAACCCTGCTCTATCCTGTGCCAACCGCACTGCCTCTGACACACCCATTCTGATTACCCCAGTCACCGAATCAATCCATCTCATAGAGGTTCTTCCCCTCCTGTGCCATTCCTCCACCCTCCCAAGCATGATGTCCCACCCTCCCAAGCATGATGTCCCTCTCCAAGAACCCATCCCTCCTGGCAACATGTCCAAAGTATGTCAGATGAAGCCCCAGAATCCTTGCCTCCAAGGAGTAGCTTGGTTTAATCCTCTCCAAG